ACTTAAAAAGCTAAAAACTTGTGATTATATAGCAACTGTTAGTGCAGTTACAATTTGGCAGTGACAACTATCATTTCAGGTAATTATTTAGAATTTAGAATATCCCCATCACTTTAAATCTTAATATAAATGTATACTCATTGTATGTATTTATTAATATAATTAATAAATGTATTCAATTTTTATATTTTTTGCAAATATTGCAGACTTTCTCGAATTCTTTGTTGCTCATTGTTCGTTCAGTTGAACTTCAATGAGATGTGGTAAAATGTATTTTGCGTCGGAAGTGCGTCATCTCATGTAAAATTTTTGACCAATACGAATTGTTGCCGCAGCATGCTGCGTATGAAAAGTCAGCTTATTATTTTCGAGTAAGCGAAACGATGATTGGCTATCGCACCACTTCCTGCATGGCAAACGTTCGTTGCCGCGTTCTGTGTGCAGGAGCCATAATTATGGCTTGACTGTGATTAGTCAATTATTACAGATTACGCATACGGCATACGGTTACAGCCAATATAAACACTCCCTTAAGATATCTTTTCGTGCATCGCTCATCGCTTGCTTTTAAGCAATAAAGAGGTGACTGACAATTCACCAATGATATTGTAATTTAACGACTGATTTATCTAAACAGGTATCTTTATTGTCTGCCTCTGATTGATTTATAAAAAATTTATTTTGCAACCGTTGAAAATTTTCTTCTCATTATTTGAATTATACTTTTAGATCTAGAAGAATGGTCCTATCTCAGCAGACAATCATAAAACGGTTACAAAATTAGTGTGAAGTAGTTTTTGCTAAACGCAGCTATTGGACGCGTTCAAGCCGGACAAAGCAGCTTATCTATTCGCCGAGCAATTAAACATGATTGGTTGGATCTAGAGTCCCTAACAGGGACTCTAGTTGGATCCACAGGTAAGAACATCAATCATACTCATTTGCTCGGCAAGTATGTTAGCCGCTTTGTCGACTTGAACTTGAACTCGTTCATTGTCCATCTTCAATTGTCTTCTCTAGCAGTCTCTAGCCTGTATTATGTATAAATAACGAAGAACGTATATTTTGTATCAATTATCTCTGTCATGTTATCGTAAAAGTATTGTAAAAGACATAACTTGTATAAACATTTCGATAATAATGTCGTTAGAATAAACGTTGCAATAATATTTAATACTTTTTAAACATGTATTATCAGTTTTGTGATGGTGAAGAGGAAGTTGAGCCAAGAGTTATACCGAAACCTATGACCAAACACGATGTAAGTTACTTTTTCAAACGGTTGTTTGTATTGTCACTTTGTTTATTTTACATATGATAAATATAAAAATATTAGAGAAATAATTTGGATAATTTTTAGTGCTTCGTAGTGCCGACTGTGCCAGAAATATCTTTAATCTTTGAAAAACCAACAGCGAGAGATCCAAAGAATCGGAGTATCGATACTACCGATTCGTTGCCAGCGACAGTATCAGTAAAACCTATACGAATCTCTGACAATACTGTGAAAGTTAGCAACCCTACGTCGCCGATTTCACACAATTCTGACTCTTACGCCACATGGAAGGAACAGAATTATTCTAGAGAGACTAATTCTACAAGTACAACGCATATTTCACCATTATATAAAAATACTTGTAGCTATGATTATGCTGTGCCAGGTACAAGTTTACAAAATGCTTCTATTCAAAAGCTACAAGAGCAAACAAAAATTAATGATAAGCAAGAAACATTGCAAAATGCTAGTAAAAATGAAAGAATGTATGAGAAAAGTGTAAAATTTACATGTTCTGATACAGGAGATTCCTATCATCTCAAAAGTCAGACTGATCTATTATCTTCGGATAAGAGAACCTCATCTTCTGATTCTTTACAAAGCGCACAGCTGAACATAGCTGATCATACTATGAGAACATCTAACAATACTATTCCAGATACATTGAAAAAACCTGAATATTTTCAGACTCCACACGCTGGATGTCAGCAATTTCATGTACCTAACTACTCAAATTACAATATAGACAATAATGAAACGGTAAAAACCTTATTGCAGCTTGTAAATAGTCAAAATCAACAGATAAAAAATTTACAACTCCAAATAGATAGACTAATAAGAATGCAGGAAGAAAATTTCAGGACCAAACCGACATGCTTATGTTCACAACCTCTTGCAAATCAAGTATTTAGGTATCCAATAAATTGTTACGACCCAGCTCTTACTTCTTCTCTTGTACAATCTCAGAATCAAAGTATAAAGAAAAATGTAGCCTCACAGAATACATCTGTTGTGGAGAAGCAAGATTTAGAAAATTTCAGTGAAAATAATAAGTTAGAAACAGCATTGTTAGAACAGCAATCAAAAAAGGCTTTTATGGAACAAAAGGTTTCGATCGGTGTTATGACAAGTTTTGAGTTTACTGTACAAAATAATCCTTTTCCAATAGACTCTGAAATATGTGACAAAACGGAAGCTCACAGAGAAAGTAACAGTATTAATAGTAGGGCAAATACTGTAAATACTATTAATATACACGATACAACAGAGCCTGTTAATAGATATAAGAATACATTTACGCGTAAGTCTGGACCAGCAGCGCAATTGGAGAACATAGTCGAGGATTCTGAAAGTTATTTATCTTCTAGCCAACAGCAAAGTAGTAATTTCAACGCGAGTTCTTCCGTGAAAGAATCGTCGAAATTGCGTCAACATCTTTCTACTGATTTAAAAGATAATAATGTATATGAACGAGCATCAAATGCAAGAAAAACGTCAAATACATCTATGAACGTAGATTGTAGTCCTATTGGAAGTGCAAATTGCAGTGAAGCGCTTGTTAAGCAAACAAACGATTATGTTACGATAGATGGGAAAAAATGTACCTACAAGACAAATATTAATCAACATTCCTTGCATAACGTCCATTTACCAGCAACAGATTACTATCACAGCCATAGAAATAAGGAATACGCGCGCAATGCTAATGTCAGACAAATTAAAGATATAGGTGATGATAGCATGATTCTGAGTGGAGGTGATCTTAAAATACTCGAAAGACCTCCACCAACTCCAGAACCAAGTATTCACGTTGAGATGCAGGAATATGTAAGTGACGATGAAAGTGACAAGTTAAAGCATACTTCGAAAATAGGTTGGACTTTTTACAACAATGTTTTGGGGCAAGTTAATGAAATTTTACAAAATTCTGGTGTTATAACCGATGAAGATCTGAATCACGTTAAAACACCATGTGTTGAACAAGAAAATGATAGAGAAACTAAATCGGCATTGAACACTGTTAAAGCAGCCACTTTGGAACAACTTCGGAGACTTGGGATCAGTTTAACTGAAAATAATGAGCACAGAGAGTCCAATGATAACAAGACGTATGTATCTCTGTATTAATTTTTATTTAGATACATAATTAAACTTATGCATTTAAATCTGTGAATTATTTTTAAAAAATTTTAAGTAAGATTTGAAAGATGAATAATTTTGCAAGTTGTTATTAAGATGAAAATAATGAGATTGGAAACAAGATCATTTATGTTAAATAACATTATTTTAAATACGAAGCGCCACTACAGTCTGAATGTAAGATGTTGAACTGTATTATATATATATTCATATAAATGAATTAATTTCAGAAATGATAATTGCGTACCGATATGGTTATCGGATTCAACGCAATCAATCTGAAATATTAATAATCCCCCCAAATTTCTCAAATTAATCTTAAAAAACTAATAAATTTATTACGAAAAATAATAGTTCAACATCTTAACATTCAGACCGTAGGGGCGCTTCGTATTTAAAGTAATGAAAATAATGCCTAATATAAATACAGAGTAAACCGCTAATATGATAAGCTCTGTATGTACAGGATATTATTGTTACTTTACGATACATAAAAAAGATTTATGACTGTTTTTTTTTTGTTCATTTACTTACTCGTTATATTATCATGTATATAATGATGAAAAGGCTCATAATTAATCTTTTCAAGGTTAGACTTTGATTCATCTTTTTATCCCCGTTTGGATCATCAAGCAAATATGACGCATGCCACTAGTGCTGTAAACGAAACAAATACAAGTATACATATGAAGGCGCTGGCATTAAAATATTTAAGTGATGAACAACTGACAGATATAGCGTGGCATAAACAAGAATCATCTTCATTGAAACACCTCATGCTCAGCAATATGCAAGGAACAAATATGTCGTTAGCTACAATGCGTTATTTAGAAAGATATCAACTTCTCCCAGGAAAGAATAACGCTCAAGCAGAGAGTAAGTATCAAGCGATGAATGATACGAAATACTAACTTAAATATAATTATGCAACAAAATTCGTGTGTCAAAGTAATCAAATTATTTGTTATAAATTTGTCTCACGCTATTTATATTATTATCTATATCAGCAATACTTGTATAATGTTAATTTATATTTATTTATTTTCCAGATATTGATCAAGCATATGACAAAGTCTCATCTAAATATGATTTTAAACCGGCGGCTACAAATAATAATCCTGCCCTACGTCGATTCCCTTTTGTACAAACATCTGGAACCACTTGTCCTAGTAGAATATTAGATCTTTCAGCTTTAAAGCGACAACCAAAATTATTATAAATTCTAAATACATATATACTACAAGAAAATTAATATAAATAATTTTTATTATACACCATATTTTTTTTTAAATTTTATTAATAAAAACCCGATAATTGAAGTATGACTTAGCAAAGACTCGAACCCTTTTTATACAGGACTGAAATCTCACTTAGTACAGATTCGAACCATACTTTGCATAAAGGTCTGCATTTTTTTCTTTTCTTATACAACGGAAACTTTTGTATTTTATGATTCAAAAGTACAATTAGTATGTGAATGTCGCATTATTTATATATATCGTTGATGTATTGTGCCAAGCTAATCAACAGCAACCAATAGTCTGGTCGGAATTGGATCGCGTAGTATATACATACATCCACACTATTCCACACTTCAATCCATATCGTTGTAGTCGATCCGCTCACTCGGAGAGCCACATTGGATGTACATACGTTTATCTTTGCTACGTCATCTTTTTATTGAAAATCTGTGAAAATCTTACAAAAATAGTAAAGAGCAGCGACTATATTAGCTTTAAGGTAATTATGTTTGATACTTTTAATTGGTATAAAATTATGTTACTTGATGAAAACATTCAGATATTGCGATCATATCATAATACTGAAATGGACCATTTGCATTTCAGATGATTACCGATGTACAATTGGCAATATTCTGCAACATCCTAGGAGTTGCGCTATTTTTCTTAGTATTCATCTTCCACTATATAAATGCGAATTACACGAAATGAAGAATGGAGAACTGTGTCATGCGAAAAAGTCTGCTTAATGTAATCTAACCTATATACGTTATTGCATCAATTGCGATTTGTATGATCTGTCACATTTAATCCAATAAAGTATCCAATATGTTATTTTATAACTTGAAAATGTCATTTCATTAATCAGATAATAGATAAAAATTATTCAATTTTTTTCAGATAATAGATAAAAATTATTCAATTTTTTTCTCGTATAATCATTTCTGGGAAATAACTTTCATTTACAATGTTATCTTTTCTTTTTTATATCTCCTTTTTAAGTATCAAAATACAAATAAGACATTAAAATATAAAAAATGTTACGCAAATATACATATGTGACTTTAAAGCAATATGTGATGGAATATTTGCGGTGTAAACAACGTTGCAAACTCATTAATCAGTTTTAATTATTGCTTTGTGATAGGTATACTTGGAACTATACTATTTTTCATATCGTTCAGATTATTTTATTTCAAGTTGAACACTTAAATTAAGGAAAATTGAAATATAATCGTAAATTTTAACTCACTTCAAAATCAGTGCTTCAAACAGTTTATTTTATTAATTTAATACACATGAATTGCATTAGAATCATTTTTTAATGTAATTTTTCAAATTTATTAAAAATTTAAAATTTTGTCTGAATTATTATTTAAAATTAAATTGTATGAAGTATCTTTTGTAAAAATAACAAACAAATATACCAAGTAGTATATATGGAAAAAAAGTGGGAGTGCAGATCCCACCTTTTAGTGTCAAGATAATCGTACACACACTGGGTAGGGAACCGCTATATAATATAGACATTGAAATAATACTCGAGCGTCTTGTGAATGTGAATTCATTTGTGTCACATTTCACGTTCTTAAGTTTGACAGCTACTTGAGTTTAATGTTATTAATAATCATGAATTGTGTGTTAATTAATAATTTAAATACTTGCCGTTTGCATATTGAAATAAAACGATTTTACTGCAGTTAAAACGTGCATATTTTAAAAATGAAGCATTTTACTCTGTGATATTTTATAGATGCAATCTCGTAGAATAGCAACAATATCATGTAAAAGTGTTTATTTACACTTGTGTGTGTTATCTCTAATGAATATCTTACGCATATATATAAATTTGAAAAGAAAGTGCTTTTTCTATCATCTTTATCCCCAAAATCCACAAGTATCCTCATCAGTTAATAGTAATAAAAATTTCGAATGGGTGATGCGCACATTTTCGGGCAAGTCGACGGAATGCTATTTTTCTTATTTTCTTATATAATTACTATCTATGGATTTCGTCTTCAAGAAGCTCTGGATACTGCTGGATGCCTGACGCTATGTAGAAACGTAAGTTAAAAAAAACATTAAAACTATAAATATATAAATATATGGAATTTTTATTTCACATATAGTTTCGATTATTTGTCATAGATTCATTCGTAATATGTATTGTTCATTATCTGTAATTTTCATTGTTCCTTAATTTTCAATAATAAATTAGTTTTGGAGGGGACAAATGCACTATATTGATATAAATAATAAAAAAACCACCACGTATATATAATAATTTTATATCGGAAAGATGATGTTATAGACGGCAAAACTGTCTCTGTGACACGACAATGTATCGTCATTAGATAAAATAACAATATGAAATTCACAATTGTCGAATAAATATAAGCTGTTGAATGAAATATACTGGCCTATCTTTTTTTTTAATGTACTGAAAAAATGTATATAATATTTAATTGTAATATTTAACTCACGAGCAAGCCCTTTAAAAACTTTTCTTTAAAAACTGAGGAAACAAGAGTTCAATTTTCTTGTAGCCTATAGGCTTTTTAGTCTCTTTTAGAAGAATTTATATCGAGCTACATATCGGCCGAATAAATACATTGAATCATTTTGACACTTGTGTCAATATCATTGAAAAGTAGATGACAAGTACTTGATCATCCTTATGATTTGGCTGTAAAAGCGATATTCGCATAGAAAACTTGTCATTTTTACGACGTTTAAATGATCGTTTTTTTGTTTAAAAAAAAAAAACAAAAAAATTTCTTTTAATGCGCGCAACATAACATTAAAAATTGCGACAATGACAATAATGTATTCCAAAAGTTCAATTCGCAATTCGCGTTATAATATTTTCAAAAATTTTTATTAAACTTGCAGGTTTTAAGTAGCTTCAAGTTTAAATAGATTGTAAATATATAACTGTATCGAGAGAGAAAAATAAAGCGGCAGACAGTATAGACTGCATAATGCATCGAGTTGTTTTAAAGTTGTTTATCTTCTTTTTCGCATTTCCTTTGCACTTGGAAAGTCATGCTTACAAACTAAACTATAAAACTTCTTAACGGACAGTCCAAACATTTCTTTTCTACAATTTAATGATAAAGTATAATTGCAGTTACGTATCATACGAGTCAGTTATTATGACAAACGTGAGAAATTTAAATAACGATATTTTTTATGCATATCAGTTTCACACGTTTTTCTTTCTGTTAATTTCTTTCTGTACATAGATATTCACTATATATATATATATATATATATATATATACACACATATGTGCGTACGTGCGTGTAATGCGCGCGCGCGCGCACGCACGCACACACACACACACACACACCACCGAACATGCCAAAGAATTTGTATTCAATTTGTTACATATATATGAGCCTCGCTCATCAAGTTTTCAGTGTGTAGTTATATGTATAATATAATATGTCCTATACGTATATATAACCGTACGCACACAACAGCGAAAAGAAATAATTTTAACGTGGATAATGCATTAGTTTATCGAACGTAATATATCTAGGTGAGATAACGAAGCAATCCACATATGCACGTGTAACTTGCAATGACCTTGCGTCAGTGCGTCAGGTAATCGTCAAACTTTTATTACCGTCCTATATTATCATCGGCGAGTATGCATACACATAGATTACACATTACTTACCGCCGAAATCGAATTCGAATCAATGCAATGCGCTTGCATTATGAAACTAATTAAGTTGTATGTCTATGACACAGTGTTCCGATGATCGCATATTATAATTATCTGCTACTTGTTCAATAATATACATCATATGTCCAAACAATTTACAGAGGTATACTATATATATGCATATATATATATATATATATATATATATATATATATATATATATATATATATATATATATATATATATATATACATATACATCGAAAATACAATTAATTTTAATTGAGTGTCGAGCGCAACGAGACAGACACATTTGTAATTAATTGCATTATATTACAATTTTCTAATATTTATTTATATTGATAAAATTTTGTTATGCTCGTTACACTCGCATAATTAATTTGTTTCAGGAATCGTGCCGAAATCGTTGTTCGCAACCTATTGGCGAGTTTGAGCGTAAGTTATAAGCCGTGCAAAAGAATTGCAAACATATAAAGAAAACGTTTCGTATGAATATCATATGTATATATATTAAAATCATTTTACGATAGCTTATCCAAGAATAAATGAGAAAGCTGACGCAAATATCACTTTACACTGCAGAGGAATGAATACGCTAATAATTAAACATCCTCCTGGAAGCTATATTATTCAACAAAGTGTTTCCGTCGACACTTGGGGTCCAACCATAGTGGTAAATACTGCTTTTAATTTTAATCGGTTCAGCCATTTGTTATCACAATTTAAGCGTCAACAAGTTTTTTCCTCGACGTGATCGAAAATCGACGAAAGGAATAGAAAGAGAATTAGAGAAAATGTAACGAATGTAATGATTTTTAAACGATTTAGTTTAGATGTATTACATATGTCGATCGGAATATTTCAAACATCATGAAAGAGCTCGAGCAAGACAACATACGATGGTGTTCATAGATTCGTTCAATTATTTCTTTATGTTCGCGTTCGTGTTTTTCACACAATAGGAATAGAATCAAAGAAAAATCTATTTTTCAAACGAGAACATTACTTTGATTCTCATACTCTTCATATTAGGTATACATATGTTTTGTCAATCGATTGATTAAGAAAACGATCGAGTTCTCTTGGTTACATTTAAAATAAATGTTAATGCACTTTTTGTCTATCTTTATACAAGATAAATTTCTTCCATAGAGCAATGGCGGATTATCGACCTTTTCAAATTTGACACCAGGTGCATTTTATCGTTATCGTTTACACAGAATAACACAACGTGGCTTCTCATTAGCTGAAACGTCGGATTGGTTTTCAACTTACGCAGGTATCGAATTGAAATCTTTTATTTTGGAAGTTCTCAACCATATTCTTTCTTGCCGCATATAATCGCATAGATTAACACATCGTGTAAAAAAATTTTATATATATACATATATATATATATATATATATATATACATACACTTATATATTCGAAATAATATTAAGCTTGCTTTTCCTGCATCATTTTATCTATCATTAAGAATTAATTAAGATTAATATTTGCAGTTGATTATCAACCAAACCAAGTTGAGTACATTTCAGTTGTGAAAATTGAAGAAGAAAGTAATAATGTGTGTGAATTACGAACTGAAATTGTTTTTCAACCTGTTGAAGGTAACATTTTTATATTATTATTAGTTATGTATACAGCATTGTGATTATATTTTTTTAGACCAGAGCTGTAACTATAATATATTATCTTGGTCAGGAGAACATGATTTGATCAATTTTTATTTAAAAAAGGTGAGAGAGAGAGAGAGAGAGAGAGAGAGAGAGAGAGATTTTACGTTAGTTTAAATTTATCTCAATTTTAACAATAAAATTACTAATATTGTTCAGTCATCAGTTGTTATATTTATATATATTTCTTCAGTCTTTAGATTTTCGCTTTTCTCTTAGACACTTACGATACAATCAGAATATTACTATATCGATCCGATCGTGTAACGATAACTTTTCGAAAGCCAGTAATGCAACAATGTTTACTTTTATCACACCATCGTGTCTACAAATTCATCATAATTTAAGCATCTGCGGTAAGTTAATAAAATAATTTTGTCGAGTACATTTTGAGTTTTTTCTTCAAAGTTAAATTGTTTCAAATGCATAATAATGTCTTTCTCGATTTTTGTAGCACCTGAAAAGGTAAAAGGTTTACAGATGGAATATATTCGAAAGCGAAGTGAAGAATCATATGACGTTGCAATTAATTGGAATAAACCTTTTCTACAACCGGATAATTACACGTTACAATTTAACTCGCTTCAATTTGAACCACGTTTACTAGTTGTACCCGGGGTCAGTGTTATCATAACAAACGATTCCTTTAATTAAAAACGTTTCTTATAAAAAGAAAAAAACGCAATTTTTGCTTTTTCTACAGGATGCAATCAAAGCTCTTTTCTCAAACGTCGATGTAAGATTGCGGTATGAGATCAATATTGTAGCAGAATCAATGGGCGGTGTAAGTTTACCATCGACTATATCCGGGAATATCGACGAAGCTTCAGGTAAGCATGTAAACATGATAATCATTTCAATCGTCACATGAATAAAATTGGTATTCAGATAAGACATGTGCGACATAATAGTTGCAGAGCTATCTTATCGCGAGATTATTGTAGCGTTATCAACACTAGTGATTGTTGTGGCGATATTTGGAATAATTTATATGCAACATTGGAACAAGAGGGAGGAGAAGAATAAACAAACTAATACGGAATATATGCATTTTGAGGTAAGCTCAGCAATAAACCAGTAATATATTTATACATATGATGCGGCCAATTGTAAGATATACTACCTGTAGTTGACTTTTGTCGTATAATCACTTTTCAATCTCAAATATATGGTAATCGGCCTCATTTCTTTTTCGATAAAATATCGAATGTATACGACATAATAGACATCTTATTAATCGTGTTTGCGATCGCGATCGATCAAAAAGCCACGTTTCTACCAACAAGTTAATAATTTTATAAGATTTATATATGTTTTGTTAATAATAATTCTTTCGTTGGATATTATTGTGAAATTTGTTTTATTTATTGAAATAAAATTTTTCTATTATCTTAAATCCAAAGCGATTATATAAAACGGATTTTACAATTAATATTTTACTAATTTTTCGCTTACAGGGTTCTATGGATTCCCTAAAGAAACTTTTAAATCAGGATTATGCAGCAGAGAATAGCGACACTCTTTTACCTCATAATAAATTTCTACTTGCTCCACAACGGCTAAAACTTAAAGGTATATTAGGCAGTGGAGCATACGGCATCGTTAGACTTGCCTCGTTGCAAGATGAATTTGGCGCTATCGCAGACGTAGCTGTTAAAATGATGAAAGGTAAAAAGGTTGATAAAATAAGACCAAATAAAAAATCTATTTATATCTATTAAATATAATACATACTCAAGAGAAAATTACATTCAAATGAGTATACATATAGTGATCGTACTGGAGAAAATGTAAAGAGGAACAATTTTATTCCGTATACTTATACATACAGATGATCCAACAGTAGACGATATAAAAAATTTTTATCGAGAGATTTCAATGATGAAGTCCGCTGGTCAACATCCAAACATAGTGTCTTTAATTGGATATTGTACTTTGTATAATAAACCTTTATTAGTAGTGGAATATTGTAGCAAAGGTGATTTACAAACATATTTAAGAACGGTGAGCTACATCCAAAAGTATAATATATGTATATGATGTTATGTGTGTAACTTGAAAAATGCATTAGTTTTGTTTTAAATGGTAAATGTCATACTTTAATTGTTTCAACCATTTCATTAAGTTTTGTTTTTAGATTTGGCAGAATATAGTGAACGCCATATTCGAATGTAGGACTCACTTAAAATCTAATGTGGTGTCTTTTGCCAATAAGAACACAGATCAAGGTAATATGTACATATATGTTTATTTCGTGATATGTGTGTGTGTGCGCGCGCGCACACAATGTTCTCATTAAATGTTAAACAAGGATGAAATGATGCACGCGAGTGTTGCGAATGTTAAATGGAATACACTCACTGTGTGTTACATATTTATGTTTACATATTGTTATATGCACTATGTGATAATAACTTCAAATGTTCAAACGAAATATTTTTCTATTATGCAGAAAAATGTGTCTGCAACTATCAGAATACGCATACGATCGCTAATCGCTTATATGATATTCAACGAGGTAAATCACACAGATGTACAATCGAATATATGTACATATATAATATAGGCATATGACATAATTATTCCGTTTTTCCAGATGTGACTAAATATATAGAAAATATTACTTCTGCCGATTTATTGAACTTTGCTAGACAAGTAGCTACAGGAATGGTAAGTCATGTCAATATATTAATAATTACTATATTGAGTTTGTATTTTAAAATTAATACGACCATTTTCTTAATTCTATTGTTTCATTATATAAATCAGAATACGATGGATATTATGTCCAGGAATTTTTATCTTCTAATCGGATAGTACATCGTGATTTGGCTGCTCGTAATGTATTAGTGCGATCAGATAGAGTGGTGAAAATTTCGGATTTTGGTCTCAGCCGGGATATCTATCAAGAGAATGTTTATCGAAAGAAAGGAAATGGTAAATTGCCTTTAAAATGGATGGCACTCGAGGCTTTAACGCATCAAATATATACTACTTATAGTGACGTGTATGCATTATCTTTTAAATTATATAAATACATTACACTATCTATTTGATTGTTGATAATGAAATTTTGGATTATAGATGGGCTTTTGGAATTTTATTGTGGGAAATTGTTACTTTAGGTGCCACACCTTATCCTGATACTCCCACAAATAAAATTTTACAATTCCTCAAATCCGGATGTCGAATGGAGAGACCACCAAATTGTAGTCGAGAACTGTATGTATATTCTAATGCGTCATTCCTTTAACAGATTTCTAATTTTCATGAATATAAATAACTAGTGCCAAGTTAAATTCTGTTAATTTCCCTAATTTCCTATAAATTTCCAGTTTTATGCCTACTCTCTTTTTTAAAAAAAATTTTTTTCAGGTATAGCATAATGTATTCATGTTGGAATATAAGACCACAAAGTAGACCCACTTTTACTGAATTAAAACAAAACTTGGATAAATTGCTTAGCAATTATTCAGAAAATAAATATTTGAGTTTGTGCGATGTTCTGTATGAATCAGCTGACGAATGTAATGAACCAAAGTCGATTAATGCATAGTTAAAATGTATAGCACAACTATATTAAGTATAGCTCATTAAATTTTAACATGACAATTTTAACAATTTTTACTATGACCAAAATTTATTTCCTAATTATTATACATACTATAATAATTTAATTATGTGATGTATAATATAGTCAATCACTCAAATTAAGATGAATTGCGTCATCCAAATGTTATAGCACAAAATGCATAAAACATAATATAGCTGCTTATACGTAACGTATGTCTAGGTCAGTAGGCATCCAGCATAAAATTGCTATATTGATTTATATAACGCTTTTAATTAATTTAAATAGTCTTATGCTAGGAACATATGCAGCTGTTATTTTGCCTTAATTTATTATCTTCCACACAACCAATAAATTACATTTCAATAAAATTACATAAACAACGTATTATAAAAAGTACCCCATTTATTGCTTTTACTTACGTATACTGAGATATTATTTCTGGAAACTGTGCAACATAATTATATTTTTTTTCAAATTTCTGAGTTTTTGTACAATTAGATTTAAGAGGTAAAATATTCATTATGTTTGTCGTAAGTTCTACAGGCCTAAGTGAACCAAAAAAATCTGTTACCGGTACTTTATCTGGATCCCTTCTAAACAAATCTTTTCTTACACCCACTGTTGATAGACAATAATCTCTCGGACATACTTTCAACTAGAAAATATTAATCTCGATTAATCGATATGATAAGAGAAGAACTTACATTTAGCATTACAATAAGATACTTACAAATTCACCTAATGTTTTGGTGCTAGATGGTTCTACTTTTTCCAAAAAATTTAATGCATAATAAGTGTATCGATCTATAATGTAAACACCAATGGCTGGATCTACATGATGCTACAAATATGACATATTAGAGTAGATTGATAGCTATAATATACTTAAAAAATGCTTTTTACTTACAGAAAGTGAATCTTCTCCCACTAAACTAGAAGCAACTGCTAATATGTTTGGAGAATAAAATTTCTCATACATGGAACTTGCTTGACAAGTGTCAACTACAAATAAAATTTCGTGGTATCTCCGTTTTTGCCACATTTGTTCTAATGCATCACCTAATTCTTGACTGGTGATTTCTTCAGAATCTTGAAACTTTAAAAATCCATTACCACCATGGCCAGTTAAATAAATTAAAATGTTTGAACCTTCGTCTGTTAATAGCTTTTTCGATCTTGGGGTTCCCTGAGCTAAGCGTCCAGTCAGTAACCTTACAAAATTTTCTACAGTTACTTCATAACCTCTATAATCGACTTCTACATCATCGCCATAAACGTTAATATGCTGTTTAATGTTGTTAAAAACAGTCGCTGGTCTAGGATTTCTAGGATTGCATGCCATATCGTCGGCTATCATCAGAATGATTTGCGAATCTGGTATTCCTAAACGTTTGACACTTCGATAAATAGATAAAACATTAGCAACATGTCGATAGTTGAACCAAAAACGTGATGTATCGACCAAAACAGCCCAATTATTGGAATGTTCAGTTTTCACAAAGTTATCCGCTACCTATAATAATAAATAAAAGGCTAATGTAATAAATAAGGAAATTAGACTTTAAAAGGGTAAATCGAACAATGAAATGCAGAAGACGCATACCTCCCACATATGGCACGACATTAAAAAAGAAATCAATATCGTTGTACAATATGCCAAATGCATTTTCATCTTCAATATAGTTACAAATTTTTGTATATAGGAATATAGGATTAGGTTAGTTTAATTACACATTAACTAAAGTGTTAGCCGTAAACCAGATATCGCACTCGCACCATCGCCTAGGCACTCGAATCTTTCTCGTATCTTGGAACATTAATTTGATTTTAAATTTATTACACTAATTTATTACACTATGACATTAATTTAATTATTCTTCAGTTTACCCCACACACTTCAAAAATCAATAAATTTAGGAACTAACTTTAAATTATGACGCGTTTCTGCATGAAACGAAAGAATCTGGCAGAAATAAATATCGCTCTGCTTCATGAAAGTCCACGGACCGAGATATTAATCTATCTAAAGTTGACGAATATTCAGGTTAGGAAATCAGTCACAGATCACAACCATGATGTACAGGCTTAAACACAATATGCACAGGCAATAGGCACAGGCAACAGGGAATAACAAGTCATCTAATCAGAGCTCTGGGATATAATATCGAATTTACACACCAGAGCTGTGATTGGACGGCTCGTTATTCCCTTATGCTTATTGTGTTTAAACCTTAAAGGGCTGCGCACAATGAAAGGAATAGGGAACAAGAATTTCAATCTATCAGAAACTGTGTATTCCACAATACAGAATTTCTGATAGATTTCTTATACTCGTATTCGTAGTCAGGCCTTATATTTAAGACTTCCTTAAATTTATCTTTAGATACTCTATGAATTATTTCATTGGCTGCTGAGCATTTAGATAAATTTAAAGAAATCTTAAGTACAAGGTCTGACTATGAAATACGGGCATTATTCTCTGCTTCCGCTTTTCTGCTTTCCGCTTTTCCGTCAAGATGTGAATCCGGCCTAAGACGGTCTTGAATATAAGAACCGACTATGAATACCGTCACTTGTCTTCTTACATCATGCCTCAGTCTAACCTAAAGACATTGGCTATGTTCAGCAGAATGTTTAATTTGCAACTGTTGGAAGTTTTCTTCGTGCTGATTGGATTATATTTTTAGATCTAGAAGAATGGTCCTACCACAGCAGACAATCATAAAACGGTTGCTAAACGCAGCCATAAAGAATAAACTGCTCAATCATATCTAATGGCGAATTCGATTGGACGCTCTCAGTGCGCATTGGTGGCACATTAAAGTTGTATACTGATTTAATTTGAGTATAAAAGGGAAAAGCAAACATTTAGAATTATAAAATACATATTTTACCTAATAGTACAATAAAATGTATTGAGTATTTCAGGATTTAATCGATTTCTATGTTTATGTATAAATATTATGTCATCTAAAAACCGCGGATACTTTTTAGATGACCCAATATATCTACGTTATTTTATGTACGACGGCTTTAATGTGCACCAGTGCGCACTGAGAACGTCGAATTCGCTATAAGTAATATTTATACTGTGCATGCATGAAAAATGTATTGGATATAAATTTTTATATAGTGTTTGATAGATTTTTCTTCAATAGATGCCAATGCATGTCATTGTATCTTAATAATCTTCAATTTTTTATATAAGGAATTGTTTATTATATAAGAATATATTGTAAGAATATATTATATAATAAAAGAATATACATATAGAAGACTTATTAAATAGAATTTTTTATTATTATCGACACAAATAGCCATTATTTTTATTATGCAACAGAAAATTACACATACAAAATATATATATAAAACTAGACTTTCAATTCTTCAAATGAGATATAGATACTTGAATAAATGAATTTAATTAAATGAATAATAGATTTCGATAAGAAAATAAAGATTAAATATAGATTTAAAACTGAAATTTTTAAGGGATAATGCTTATAATTGATAATGATTATAATCAATCACCACGTATATAATAATTTATTTAAACATTTATACATCTATAATATATATCCACAATTTTGAAAACAAATATGAGTTTAAATATTATACAGGTATAAAACTGTGTATAAAGTTATAGAAATACATATAATTACACATAGTGTTTGAAAATAGATTGATGAAATATTTGATTGAAGCAATGATATTCTTCTTAAAAATTTAAAAACTGAAATGTCATATTTTATAAATATTTCGAGAAATGAACGATTTTTGAAACAGTTAGATTTTTATCTTTTATTTTATTAAAAAATAAGATATTTGTGAAAAGTGTATATATATTATTTATATTTATATTAAAATTTATATATTTGTATTAATGCTAATCAATAACACAATAATATATTTAGCTTTTCCAACTATGAAGATTCATTATAATCTTAAAAATATATAATAAAATTTGAAAACTTTGGAATTTACGAATATTTTATTAGATTTATATTTGAAAAAAATCATCTTAGTGTTCTCTGAAAAGAACATTGTTGTTTTTAGCATACATAATATGTGCCAATGACCAAATGCATCTCACACAATTTCCGCGCGCGCGCGTGTGTGTGTGTGTGTGTGTGTGTACATCCTGATATATATAAGACATATAAAACACACACAACACATATATACACACAGATACAGGGTATCCTATTTTAATGAAAATAGTAAAATATCAAAACGAAGCAATTGACAAAAACAAAATTGATAAAAATAATGATTAAAGCTGTGCAGTCTGAAGAGGATAAAATAATAGTAAAATCAATTTTCGAAAAAAATCAATTTTTTTAAATCATATAAAAATTATTGCAATTTTTTAAAATAGAGTATGATTTCTCTACATAATAATGATTTTTCTAATTATTATAAATATGAAAATATAATATTAAAGTTATCAAAAAACAATACTTTATGTTTATGAGATATTTTATACTTTATTTTGGCAAATCTTTACATAAATTATAAAATATTTCTTAAGAATAATGATGTGATTAATTGATGAGGAGGAAATATATAGTAGCTCTTCAAAAAAGTTATGTAATTGTATTATATATTATAAATTGCACAATTTTTTTGAAAAACTACATATTTTCTTTATATACCGATATATCTCATTAGTCTGTGCGTAAAAGTATTAAGATACAGTTTAAAAAAATTAAACTTATGAGATATTTTATATTTTATGTAAAACATAAAATATTTTTTAAACTGTAGGTACATACTTTAATACTTTTATATATATATATATATATGTGCGCACGCACGCGCGCGCGCGCACACACACACACACAGAATAATTAAAGGAATTGTATCATGTAAAAAGTAATATAATTCCATTTTTTTAAATAATAACTTTCATACAAAAGATAAAAAATTGATTTTTTTCGAAAATTAATATTATCTTTACTTGTTCCACTTTAAATCATCATATAACTTTTGTCCAAAATTTGGTTTTTTTCTATATATTTTTCATATTTTTCGGAATATTTGTTTGAGACAATTAAAATGAGACATCCTGTATATCTTATATGTATGCATATGATATATAATTATACATACATCTTTTTATAAATTTATTTATCTATATTTTTATAAGTTAATTAA